TAAAATGGATTATTCTAAACAATGTAATGTGTTGTGTGCTTTCCGTTAGTAAGACGGAGATAAAACATCCGGGTGTCATGCGGTATTGTCTTCTAAATAAATTAATATAATTAAAATTGTAAAACCCATCTAGGTYGAGAATATATTATTGGACATCAGTGTTGTAACAGATACTTTTATGAATTATTGTTTGAGTAAGAAGTACTCAACAATATTGAACAAAACATTATTTTGATAGAAGGTACTTATTTAAATATTATCTACCTGCTAAACATTTTCGCACTAATTACATACATTTTCTGTATATTATTTTTCCTTCACTTTTGCTTGTAAATAATTATAAAATGTTTACAAATTTATTTTCGACTGCTAACTACGATAGAAGACGTTTTTTATTGTGTACTTATTCCATAATTTATGAAACAAGTAATAATATTCGACCCAAGACATTTAAAATGACAAATTTTTACCTAAAATTAGGCTAATATTATTTAACGACGTGTCGACGTCCACTAGTTTTTAATTTTAATTTTCTGTGTTTTAACTTATATTTAAAACTGTTTACATCAATTATATTGAAGCTGAATACTTAATATTTTACCTATTATTATTATTATTATTAATATTATTATTATTATTATTATTATTATTATTATCATTATTTATTTTATTATTACTTTAAACTGTCACTGTTGCTATAGAATAAATTTCGTTACCATCTAGTAAATATAAAACCACCGCATTTTCAAAGTAAACTACTTGTACAGGTGAGATAAGAAATACACCGAAACAAATTTAAATAAAATATGTGTTTATTTTAAGCTTATTACAAAAAAATCAAACGACGCAGCAGCAGTTTTTAATCGTCTAGCTGTATATAGAATATGGGTAGGTACACATAAAACAATAAGAATTATGGTTATATGAAATTGTGCTCTCGTAGCTGTATTCACGATGTCATTTCTATCATCATATGGAAATTTTGCGTTCGAACCCCAATAATGCATATTCATAATCAAATTTCAAATTATAATATTATTCTAAAACAAAATATCGATTGGATCATGTTGAACTCATAAACTCTTTAACGAGTTGTGTGTTTGGTTATTTTAATACAAGTACGATTGTGTTCGTTTTAATTTTATTTAGGTAAATTACGAATCTACCTATAGATTTGAATTTTGTTATACGAATATATTCATATATTCATTAAAACAAAAACAGCTTTACCATTTGGTCTACAGTCCATTCTAGTGATAGGTACATTGTTTTAAAAAAAAAAATTACAAATTACAAAGACTTTATGTAAGTCTGTCCGTTTGAAGAATTACATATATATTATAATAACATGATGTAAGAAGACGTGTTAAGAGAAATTCTGTATTGAATAATAATACTATATATGATATATAATATAATATATGTATAATGTATATATATACTAGCTGAACCCGTGCACTCCGTAGCCCGTTAAAATACCTACCTCTTTTATGGCTTAAGCTGTGTGTTAAATTCTTTCCTGTGATTATGCCAGTAGTATATTTTTATACATATATTTATAAATATAGATTAAAATACWTTAAGTAATAATATTTTACAACGATATTCAATCTAGTGTATCATTATGTAAATTTATTCGTTTTATCTAGAAAAGTCTGACTATTCAAGTATTCATTTGAATGATATTTATTGAAGTGCATTTAGATACACAATATTTTTTGTTTTTTCTTCTGGTAAAAAATGTTTATTATTTTTATTTGTTCGTACACAAATAAATCAGAAGGTTTTCTAACACGTGAAMATTCCACATACAGCTGTCCATGTGAGAAACATGGATTTTCCAAATTCAGTCCACACACTTGTAGCGATTKTCCTAGTGCTTTGTCGACGGTCATTGCAAAGGCGAGTCTTACCAGACTCTGCAAACGTTTGAGTTCAAAAGGCATATCTGTTGGAATCATTGGGATGCGTGGCATACCTACATTTTCCGATTTTCGCCTTTAAAATTGTAGTTTTGATAATGTTCATATKTTTCACTGAAAGCCTGCTACTATTGCAGAGTCGTGGGGGATTGATGTTTCATAGATGTATGATGGGCACGCCAATTTCAATGTTAGAACGTGTGGTGGCAGACGCGTAGCTAGGAATTTCAAAGGGGAGGGGTGTTATTCAAACTTAATCGATAAAACTATAGCTACATGCACATACCATTAATAATTAATTTTACGCATACTTTATTATATAAACGTATTACAACTTACAAGTGAATAGATATTAGTTTAGAATAATAGTTCTCTCATATAATATTATTATTCATAAAAAAAAATAATAATTAATGCAGTGTCTCGGTTTACATCATAAAACATAATATACCAAGGCTGAGGGGGGGTTACTACACCTGTAATACCCCTCCCTCTCTGGCTACGCGCCTGTGTGGTGGCATGCCTGGAAAATCAAGTGAATTTAAGAATTCAGTTGGATATTTGACAATTTCGTCTTGATTCATTACGGTATCGATGAATTGGTAAGTTGTCGTGTCGCCATGAATTTCGTTCAGAATGGTGATATTGATTGTATTTACATCATAGTTTTTAGCTGCAAATAAATCCCGTGCACTGAGCCATTGACGATTTTTGTAATTTTGTGGTAGATTCGGAAAAAATAATATGTCAATTAACTCATTGGTCRTTGCTGTTATTTTACAGAAATTTGTTGCCAATATGATGAATTTATTTGATTTATTGTTAGCTAGTTTCCCATTCCCTATTCCCAGCAATTGTTTTGCGAAACCATCGGCTGATGCATCATTTTGTAAATGTACACGCATATTTGTTTCATATTTCATATCGATTTCCAATCTTGCATCTCTTTGGTCGATTATTTCTAAATCTCGGATTGCCATTTTATTTTGTGTTTGAGGCGTAGAGCTACAGATCGATATTTTTTTGGGAGGCATAACTACAAAAAATTGCGTTATTATTAGAAAAAAAAAACTCAAAATATCAATAAAAAAATTTAATGTCATAGGGGTACGTGCCATAGAAATAAAAAAATTAGAGTGTGTGAGTTACAYTCTTAGGAAGTAAAACTTCTTTCATAAGTATTGGGTCCGTTAAATCATAAGTGAGATAGGGAAGGAGTGAAAAAGATCAGTACGAAAAAAAACACATAAAATACACACTGAACCATTTAACCATTCAAGCGATTTCTATCGCAGTCATACACACGCATTATACACCGTTTCATATTTTT